ATCATGATTCCACCCTTGTCTAGGCTATGTATATATATATATTTAAGTATTTTGTAATATATTTTTTCCTCCTTAAAAACTTGACTTGAAAAGTAATAACAAACAATCATATGGTAATTTGAAAGAACTAATATCAACTTAAAAATTATGTCCTTTCTGCTGGAGCCAGTAAACCAGGGTTCAAGTTCTGCATCTATCCTATACTAGCTGTGTGGATTTGTAATCTGCTAATTCCTATGAATATCAATCTCATCTCCAACCTGAAAGTAATAATACTATACATTTACTATACACTTAGTATGTGACAAAAACGATTCTAGAATATATATATGAGCCACTGAAAATTTCAACAAGATCCTATGAAGTAGGCAGTATTTTTATTATCATCTCCATTTTGTAGATTAGGGAACAGGCTTGGAGAGGTTAGTAACTTGCCCATGGCAACTTGACTTATAAGTGATGGAGGCAGCAGCTTTCAGAATTCAACTCTTATCCACTATGCAACCTGTGCTTTCACAATACTCCCTCCATAGGATTGCCATCAGGATAAAATTAAACAGTATATGGTTAGTATAATATTTATTTTATTTCTATAGATTTAATCCTGCATAAAGAGAAAGGTACCAAAATCTTAATGCCAATGAAAAATAGAAAAACTATGTCAATAGCTCTTGAACTTCAGTATGCAGATTCACTTTGATATTTGTTTAAAATCAGATACCCTAGGCTTGACTCTTTCTAAACTCATTACATGTGCGGTAGAAGCCAAGAATATGCTCTTATAACAAGCTCTGCAAGAGATTTTGATGCAAGTAGCTTCTAGACATTATTGAAAAATAATGGTCCATGTTTAAAGCTATGTAAGTGTTACGGGCTGAATTGTGTCCCTCAAATTCATATGTTGATGCTCTAACCCCCAATATTTCAGAATGTCAATTCATTAGGAGATTGGGACTTTAAAGACGTAATAAAGTTAAAATGGGGTCATTGTTGGGGGGCTAATCCAGTATGACTGATGTCCTCATAAAGAGAGATTAAGACATACGCAACCCTGAGGGCCAACCATGTGAGGACACAGTGAAAAGGCAACCATCTGTGAGCCAATCAGAGAAGCCTCAGAGGAAACCTGCTGACACCTTGATGTGGTACTTCTAACCTCCAGAACTGTGAGAAAATAAATGTCTGTTCTTTAATCCAATCAGTCTGTGGTATTCTGTTACGGAAGCCCTAGTAAACTAGTACATTAAGCAACATTCTGAAGTGGAAATAACAGCTGATGTGGTGATTTGGTAAATACAGCTCCTAAAATGTTTTTTATTACAGGCAAAGGAATTAACCATATTAAAAGTGCCGATTTGTTTTTCTGGCTTAATTAGTAGCTGAAACTGACTAACAAGAAAGCATATGCCACTAAGACAGTTTTCCTATAGATAAAGGTGTCTACCACCAGACTGCTTCCCTGGGCTCCATAACTTACCCATAACCCAAGGAGAATAGATCATATTTTTAGCATATATATAGTTCCCACTAAAATATTCATTTCATTCATATGTACTTGTCTATCTATATAACTATCTATTATCTGTCTGTCTATCTATCTATCTATCTATCTATCTATCTATCTATCTATCTATCTATCTATCATCTATCTCTCTATCTCCATCCACAGATCCACCCATTCATTCATCCATCTATCTATCCATTTAATCAATACTTATTGAACATGTACCATGTGCTAGATGCCATTTTAGGTACTGAAAAACAGCTTCTTACTGATGGGAAGATAAAACCCCCCCAAAATTTCTAAATGAAAACTCGAAAGTTTCATGTAAAGGAACTCAAATATCCTTAGGATGCATTCAGGTAAGGAAATAAATGAAGTGGTCTGGGGGGGATTCCAGCGAATTGCTATCTAAAAGGAGAGAAACCACAACTCTGCTCTAGAGAGTTCTAGGCATAGTAGCCCAGTTTTGCTGAATCTTCCAATACTTTAAGAGAATCCATGCATCTAGCTTTTAATGTGAATTTTCCATTGTTAATGCTGGTGAAATAATCTGAATTTTTTCACAAACACTATGTGAGCCAAATAAAACACAGCTATTATTTAAACAACTAGACACCCCCAGGCGCTACCAGTTTGCAGCGTCTGCTCCAGACTCAGGATGCAGTGTTGTAAAAGTGCTGAGTTCTTCAATATCTGCTATCTTCCTATCTGCTTTTTGATGAATTCACAACTAAATAATTTGGCTTTCAATTCATTATGGGTGCTGCATAGACCACTTAGTGGCCAAGGAAACCTGAGAACTACCCAGTGTCTTCTCTATGGTTATGAAAGTATAGCGTACATGAGGTAGGGCAATTTCATCCCGGAAAGACGTAGGAAAGCTCTGTGGCCTCTTTCATCTTTTCTCACCTCTGCATAGGACTGCAGTGACGGGGACCATGTATTGTTCGTCATCTTTATAAACTCTCCAATCGCTACGTGGCATAATTTCCTGCAGAGTCCATGCTTGATAAATGTTTGCTGAACTGAACTTGAATCCACATATGTTTTTCAATTCTGATTTAAAATCTGGAGTGACAACTATTGCTGCCATACTTCCTATTTAGTTAAAATTTTGATCTTTAAGGTCATACCTCCATGACAGCAAAATAATTAGCTATTTTAGAAACTTCATCAGGACAAGCAATGAGACAAATCACACCTGTTATGATACAGAAATAATCTAAGCAACTGCTGTATCTCTAGCCAAATCATGTCTTGTTCTCACTCTATTTTATTCTAGACTAATAAGACAGACAAATTGGTGTAAGGAAACACAACACGCTTTGAATGACTTTTTCTGTTTGAAGTTATATCTCAGAGTTAATATTGTTCTACCAGTTGGTCCTGCTTTCATACAATAAAATATAATTTGTGGAGCTCATTTCTGTAGCTTAGCAATTAATATAGAGGAATACTAGTACTTTCTCTTAAATAAATAAAAATTCACACATTTCCTTAAAATATAAAAGGCACTAAAGACAAAAAAACAAATAACAGCCAGCAAAAAAAAAAAAATCCTCCCTGAGACATTTTTTTAAACTTAAATTAAAAAAAAATGTTTCAATGAAATTATTTTTAAAATGTAGAGAAGCCTAAGAAAGCTTATACCATCATACAAATAAATGTGAAGAAAAGTATCATTCTACAAACATCACCTGCAAGTTTCATTCTTCACATTTAGCATGGATCTCATAAAATTTGTGGTGAAGAGTACATTTGTGGTATTATAAAAAGAAACTCGTTAAAAAAAAGGGTGAGAACCTGAGTGAGCACATTGTGAATGCTGATGAAGTCTTTTTAAACTCAACAGTCAATAAAATGCAAATATTTCTTACATTTCACATTACTCTCTGGCCTTGAAACACCTATATGCATAATTAAACTCAAAGCTCATTCTGACTAGTAACACCCACACTAAGTCTTTTTCCATCAACGTTTTTTTTTTGTTTTTTGTTTTTTTTCCAAATAGTAAAACTTCTGGGTTAAATGACGTATTCTTGTTTCTGAATGTTTTCATCTTTTCTCCACTAAGCTACTGAAAGCTCACCAATTTAAAAAAATCGTTCTGCTCCATTCAACACACACACGTTATCAAATGCAATGAACACAGCTGGAAGCTCTATGTCATAAATTTCACAGTATTATCAATCTGAGTGTTCACAAAACTAAAACTATCCTCACATACCAAGAAGCAACACCTTTATGACTAAAAACCCAGCCTCTTAAACTTCTGTAAAACGTTTGATTTTAGTTGTAGTTGATTTCAGTTGCTTTGATTACCTACATAGAAACACAACCAAATTCTTAACAAGTGGTGTTTCTTCAATTTAAGTTCCTGCAAACCTCAGAAATTATCTAAAAGTTTCATCTGAAGTTAAGTCAAGTCCTGTAACTGGGCAGTCTTAATTTCTTCTTTGAAAAAATAATAGAATTAATATGTGATTGACTTATTACATGAACCTAATTACATTTCCTGACCCTGAGAACAGAAAGTTCTCACTCCTTTAAAGAAGTGATCTTTGTTCAGGTTGAATATAAAAGAATAGTAGTAAGGACAACACATTTCTAAATATAACTTATGGAATTTTTCAGTTAAATTTAACTTTCTAGATACAACTAAGGCTTTACTGTTGCAACAAATACAGTGTTAAAAGGAAGACTAATGTATCTACAAAACATCAAAGTTGTTAGAGAATTTACAGCACATCTGAGGGTGGCCTGGCGATTAATAGGTAATGTACATGACAATCCTTACCTAAGTGGTTGGCATTTGCTAAGAACTTGGACTTGAATGACCAAGTCTAATACTTTCATCTTACAGATAAGAAACCTTAGGCAGGAAAGACAAACTTAGCATATACACATTGAAGGGTTTATTAAAAGTGTAAGGAAAATAATTGACTCGAGGTGCAGAGTAACCAAAGGACATTCTCTGATACTACACTGTTTTAGTTACTCACGTGATACAAAATCATTTTCATACCCTCATTTCAAGGGACTTTTCTAATTTTCTCCTATGAATGGCTCTATTCTACTACTGAAGATTTTATGTCCTGGTTCCAAAAATAAAACTAAGTTGAGGAAAGGCATATCCCTAATCATCACACTTCCATTATTTATTCTAAAAACATTTACTTAAAATTATTCCAGGGCTTGACAATTTAATGTGATGGAAGCTCAAACCACATCACTTTAACAAATTCCCTCTACAGCCCACAGTGTGTCTTTGCTGCACTCCCTGTTCCAGTGACTAGTCTGCTGTTTTCAGCACTTAGGAAGTCTCTGAAAGCCAACCAAGCTGCTTCTGGCCAGGTCTGAGGATATTTATCTTCTTCACAGGTATTTTTTAACCTTGACTTTTTGTATGCCTGGAACTCAAATGAAACACCGGTTTGATAAGGCAGGGCTCAGCCCCCAGTGGCCTGGCCATCCAACAGCACCTGCCATCTTTTACCTGTTTGCAAGACCACAATTCTCTCTTCTCCATCCAGAGGCACAATCCTGAAGTTATAGATGGTTCCCGCTTGTAAATCCTTGGGTTTACATTCATAGGTGGTGTTGTCTATCTGCAGAGGGTGGCACCTCGCGAACTGTGATGTGTCACTGCTATACATGAGGCTGAAGTTACAGGGAGGTCCCAAAGTTCGCCACTGGAGAGACGCAGACCGGCTGAAGACCATGGACTCCGTCACGGTGAAGTTACATCTCACTGGCTCCCCCAATCCAACCTGGCAAACGAACCAGAGACAACAGCTGAAGCCCGCCGCCTGGACTGCCCAGGGACAGGTCCACAGCAGGCTCCCTGAGACGCCTTCACTCACCCCTCGCCCCCAACTTCAGCCAGAGAAAAAGCCCCTGGGGAAGGTGTGCGGCAACTTTCTCCCAAGCTGCTGGAGAAAGAAGGTGGCTTTCGCCTTGGACGATGGGACGAGTTGTCAGTCTGACTGGGGGCTCTGAAGAGGATCTTTTTTTCCCAAGAGAGAGAATGAAATTATGCCACCTCCCTCTCCAAAACACAACCCAGGAGACCAGAAAATTAAGTGGGAATTTGGTTCTCGGCGGCGAGGACGCGCGTCAGCCCGCGACCTCTGCCTCCGGCCACTCACCTGCAGCAGGCTCAGTGCGGTCCACAAGGCCAACCCGGCTCCATGGCTCCGCATCGCGCTCAGCGCTTCCCACCCAGACTCGATCGCGGGGCTGGGACGGGGGTGGTGGCCTCGACGGCCGCGTGGGGAGCCACTTGTTGCGCGCGCTCAGCGCGCCCTGCGGGCGCACAGCGCTTCCCTCCCGGCTGGCGACGCGCAGGGGCCACCGCGGCCGCCGCTGCTGCTTCTGCTGCTGCCGCCCTGGGCGGGCTGCGGACGCGAGAGGCGGCGGAGGCAGGCAGCGCGCCGCCCTTCCCACGCTGCCATTCTGACCCGCGCAGCCTCGCCCCGCGCCCCGTCCGCGGACTTCCGCAATCAAAAGGCAATTTCCTCGTCTCCCGGCAAAGGAACAATGCGCCTGCTAGGGAGGGAGCCCCCCAGGAGCCAACGCCTGAGGCTGCCAAGGGGACCCGAGGCGGGCCAAGCTACCCGCGCCGCGGCCCCGAGCCGCCGTGTCCCGGGCCAGGGGTCCCGTCCGGGTCTGCGGAGACCGACCTTCTCCTTCTCCTCCTCCCCTCCCCCACTTTCACTTTTTCCCACTCTGTGGTCCTCAACCCCGCTGCCTCAGCCGCAGTCAGTACTGGCTCCCTCTCACTTTCCAGCCCCCCACCCCTGCCCCTTCCTCCCTCCACACCCAGTGCCTCCCCCTCCCCATCTTCCTTCCTATCTTCCTCATCTGCTTTCTCCAGGGCCTCTTTTCCCAGGATTAAACTTAACCACAGCAGATTTCCCTAGGTCGCCTACATTCTTTCCTGAAGTCTTTTATTAGAGTGCTTTTGCCCTTCTCACCTCAAAGCATTTATTTGTCCCAGTGCGCATCCTCCTGACACCGGCCAGAGAAAAAGACCCCAGAAGGATCTTGCCCATTGTCAACTTGACCTTTACTTTTTTCTGCCATTCACTTTTCCCTTTCTCTTGTGTCCTCCCTAAATATTATGCAAATGGCGCTAACTACGAACAAATATAGTCACCACCAATTGTTCAACACACAAGCAAAGCAGTTTCATCACTGACCATCCAGTATTTAAAACCATTTCATCCATAAATGTCCAAGCAATATAAGAAAGCAATATAAACTCTCACTTACGGAAAATACTATTGATGGCTTGGCTCCCCTACACATTACAAAAAATTGGAATTTACTCAGTTTTCAGCACTAACTTTATGCTTTTTTAGCAACTGCCTCAGTACCTGAATGACCAGGTATCTGAAAATGGATTTTAAAAAGGTTCCCAATCACTGAAGAGCAAAAATGGTTAATTGTATACAGGCGATAACAGCAAACTATTGCAATAACTTCTACAATATTTGATTGCTTTTGGGGCACCACCCCTGATAACTGCCAAAAGAGGTGATATTCAACATTTGAATTTTCAAATCACAATACTCTGGAGCTACATCAGAGAAAGATGACACATTCCCTTCTTTTTCAACTAGATTATACATAAAGCTACATTATTGACTACTATATCTACTGTATCTCCTTGGAGGAAAAGGAGAAGATAGGGAAAAAGTGAACATTGTTTCAATTCTTGTAGGGAACATGTTTTAAAGCAAATTTCTGTAAAAGAAAATAAAGTTTCTACCCTTTCAGGGATTCTACCAGAGATCTGAAATCTCCTTTTCAGGTTAGCAAACACTCAAAGAAGGTCAAACCTAAGACGTGTGTATTAAAAATCTGAGTCTTTCCTATTTCTCTGCATGAGTCACTTGTCTTACTTACAAAAGAGTTTTTGCCCTCTGTACGCCCCCCATCCCGGACCCCCAAGTTCAATGGCTTTTCACAGCCTGACATGTTTTTCAGCACCATCACAGAGCGCACCCTCCTCTCTCCCGTAGATATTGCAAGCCTATAGGCTGCCTTCAGCCTTGACGGGGATCTTTTTTTAGCTCTCTTCCTTTCTTTTTTTAATGGATCCTTTCAAACATTTTCCTTTACTTTAATATATTTATATAATACAGGTACACATACATAGTTTATATTTTGCATACGTTGAATTATACTGTATTCCTATAACAAGCATTTCCCCACGCCTTAGAAAATTTTTCCTATTCAGCACATAGAGATCTACCACATTCTTTTTATTTATTTATTTTTAAGATTTCTATTAAAAGCATAGCTAACATACAATATTATATTAGTTTCAGGGGTACAGCACAGTTATTCAACATTTATCTACCTAAAGAAGTGATCACGATAAGCCCAGCAACCATCTGACACTGTACTATGCTATCACAATATTGATTATGTTCCTTCCCTATGCTGTACCTTACATCCCCATAACTTATTTGTTTTATATCTGGAAATTATTCCCCTTAACTTTCCCCCCTTTTAAAAATTTTCAATTACAGTTGACATTCAATATTATTTAATATTAATTTCAGGTGTACAGCATAGTGGTTAGTTAGACATTTATATAATTTAAGAAGTGATCCCCCTGACTAGTCTAGCACCTGGTACTATACATAGTTATTACCATATCATTGACTATATTCCCTATGCTTTATTTTACATATATGTACTTTTTAATCCCTTCACCTTTTTCACTCTGCCCCCCAACCTCCTCCCATCTATCACCCCAACAAATCTAGTACCTATCCGACACCATACATAGATATTACAATATTATTGACCATATTCCTTATGCTATAGCCTACATCCCCATAACTACTTTGTAACGACCAATTTGTACTTCTTAATCCCTTCTGCTTTTTTCACCTGCACCCGCAACCCTCCTCCTATCTGGCAACCATCAAAATGCTCCCTGTATCTATGAATTTGTTTCTGTTTTGTTTGTTAATTTTGTCCTTAGTTTCCACCATAAGTGAAATTACATTGCATATGTCTTTGTCTGACACACTCCACTCAGCACAACACCCTCGATGTACATCCATGACGCAGCAGATGGCAAGAACCCATTTTATCTTATGACCGAGCAATATTCCATTGTATGTATGTACCACCTCTTCTTTATCCACTCACTCATTGATGGATAACCAGGCTGCCACCACATCTTAGCCATTGTAAACAATGCTGCAATGAACATATGGATGCACATATCCCTGTAAAGTAGCAGTTTGGGTTTCTTCAGATAAATACCCTGAAGTGGGGTTACTGGGGCCTTTTTTGGCTCTTCTATACCCTTTGTTTTAAAGTTTATTTTATCTGGTATAAGTATTGCTACCCCAGTTTTTTTGTTTGTTTCTATTTTCATGAAATATCTTTTTCCAGCCCTTTACTTTCAGTCTGTGTCTTTGAATCTGAAGTGAGTCTCTTGTAGGCAGCATATGTGAGGGTTTTGTTTTCTTATTCATTCAGCCACCTTATGTCTTTTGATTGGAGCTTTTCATCCACTTACATTGAAAGTAATTGTTGATAGATATGTAGCTATTGCCATTTTATTCATAATTTTGATCTCCTCCCACCCTCCATCTTAAAGAAGTCCCTCTAACATTCCTTGTAATACTGGTTTGGTGGTGGTGAGCTACTTTAGCTTTTTCTTGTTTAGGAAGCTCTTTATCTGTCCTTAAATTTTAAATGATAGCTTTGCTGGGTAGAGTAATCTTGGTTGTAGGTCCTTGAGTTTCATCACTTTGAATATTTTCTGCCAGTACCTCCTGGTCTGCACAGTTTGTTGAGAAATCAGCTGACAATCTTATGGGAGCTCCCTTATAAGTTACTAGTTGCCTTTGTTTTGCTTTTTTTTTTAGGATTCTCTCTTTGTTTTTAACCTTTGCCATTTTAAATATAATGTGACTAGGTGTGGGCCTGTTTAGGTTTATCTTGTTTCGGACTCTGCACTTCCTGGACTTGTATGTCTATTTCCTTCGCCAGATTAGGAAAGTTTTCAGTCTTTATTTCTTCAAATAGGTTCTCAATCTTTTGCTTTCTCTCTTCTCCTTCTGGTACCCCATATGATGTGAATGTTGTTATGCTTGAATTTTCCCCAGAGGTCTCTTAAACTCTCCTCATTTGTGGGGTGTGTGTGTGTGTGTGTGTGTGTGTGTGTGTGTGTGTGTGTGTGTGTTCTTTTTTCTTTTCCAATTGGGTGTTTTCTGCTACAATGTCTTCCAAATTG